GTTCGTGTCGTGCCGACCCCAGCGTTGGTTTTTGACACCGCAGGGATCGTTCAACCTTGAACGATCGGCCGCTGCCGCTACGCCCGATCGTTCAACATCGATCGATTCTGGGTCGCCGGCGGCGTTCAACCTTGAACGCCCGCGCTGGGGTCGCCGCTGGTCGACACGACGCAAACCTACCGTACTCTTTCGGAGGTCCGCGCGGAGTGCTCGGATCGGCGCTGGACCCCAAATCCCTGGCGCGCGGCGCGCGCCATGGGGCAGAGCTGCCAGCGCCGTCCAGTGGAGTCCGGCGTCGATCCGACAGATCCGCGCGGACCTCCGTGCCTGGGCTTGGCGACGCGCAGAAGGGGGGTGGAGGGAGGGGGGAAGGCTTCTTAGAAGGAGGCTGCTTCTTAGAAGGCGGCGGCCTTACATCTATACATAAGGACCGCGCCTTCTAAGAAGCAGGGGTGCTTCTAAGAAGCCTTCCCCCCTCCCCCTACCCCCCTCTGCGCGTGGCCGACTTGTGCTTGGCGGCGAGCCCAGGGGGGAAGTGAGAAGGGGCGAGCCTGCTCAGAAGGCTCGGAAGCCCGCAAGCCTTCTGAGACATGCTCTCAGCCTCGCGAAACGCACGGGAGACTTCTCGGAAGGCGCGAGGGCTTCTGAGAAGCTCCGCCGCCTTTTGAGAGGGTCTCTCCCTCTCACTTCCCCCCCCCTCGCCGTCGATGTGCAGTTTTTCTTCTGCGATGCCTGGCGCTCCGCTGCGAAGCAACAATCTATGCGTCCTATCGTGGTCGGCCGGGCACGACATTGGGGCAAGGGAGGGCGGGGCTGCCAGGAGAGGCCGAGCGCAGGGCAACGCAGGGGGGCCTGCACAGGGTTCCTCGCCCTCCCTCGCCACCTCCCCCTTCCTCCTCCTCCTCCTCCTCCTCCTCCTCCTCCTCCTCCTCCTCCTCCTCCTCCTCCTCCCTCCTCCTCTCCTCCTCCTCCTCCTCCTCCTCCTCCTCCTCCTCCTCCTGCTCCTCCTCCTCCTCCTCCTTTTCCTGCCTTCCGGCTGCTCTGCTCCCCCGCTTGCCGTCCGGTTCCGAAGCAGGGTGACGAGTTTCGGCTCCTGCCCAGCTGCGCGGTTCCTCTGCTGGTCGGCGGCCTCGCAGGGGAGCGTGGGTCACCGCCGCTCTGGCGTGGCGGCGCGCCCCCGCGGGCCGCGGGGGCGCGGGTCGCTCCGTGCCCGCGGCGGAGAAACTTCCGAGATGGAGCAACAATTCTCAGCTGTTCTCCTCGGGTGGGCCCGGCCGTTCGTTGACTTCTGACGCGAGCGAATGAACTCGTGGAGGGAATATGAGCGCAAGGAAAACTCCGCCGACCCTGTCGGCGTGTGTGACGGGCTTCTCCGTTCAAGTCGCCGGCGCCGTCATTGGTGAATCGTCGCCTCTGTCGTCCTCTTTCCTTGCGCTCTCCTTTTCCTGTGCCCGTCGTCGCTCCCCCTTCCTTGCCTGGGCCCTCCTCCGCGAGCGCGCCAGCCAAAGCGCAATTGAGCAACGTCGTAATAGACTCGAAGAGAGCCCTTCCCTGTGATCCCTTCCCGCCGGGAGGAAGGGGGGTCCGGGGAGAGGGGGGGGTCACGGGTCCAGTCCCAGGGGCGGGGTCCCGGTGGGAGTCCCGGGGGGGTCCCAGGGGGTTCCTGAAGGGGTCCCGGGTCAGATACGACTGCCCCCCGGGGTGCCTTGGAGCCCGAAAAACCCAAGACGAGCCAAGAGTGCCCCAAGAGACCCCAAGACGGCCCAAGAAGGCTTCAAATCGTCGATAGATCTATCCAAAACGCCTCCACGGCCACCAGACGGCCCACGAGCACTCTCAAGAGGGTCCCACAAGGAAAACTCATCGATGTCCCATAAATTTTTGAACCATTTCGGCGTTCTCGCCTTTTCCGCTTCCCGACGGTCCAACACGGCCCAAGAGGCCCCCCAAATCCAAGACGGCCAAAGAGGCCCCCAAAAAGACACCAAGACGGCCCAAGAGGCCTCAAAGACGGCCCAAGACGCCCCCCAGGCGACTCCAAGAGCGTGCCCAAACTGGGGCTTCGCACGAGAAGCGTTTGGGGCGCGTGGAGGGCGGCTGCGACGGAGGCGGAGGCGCTCGTCACCGAAGAAACCGACCGAGGCCCGACGCTGGACCGCGGCGTGGAGCTCACGCAGCGTGGGAAAGTGCTGTCGCGTCGTGCGGCGGTCGTGGTCGGAAAGGGCCTGGAGGTGCTCGAGCTGGCGCTCGAGCGGGGTCCGCAGGCAGAGCCTGTGCCTGCAGGGCTTCGCCCTGCGGCGGGGAGGGGAGCGAGCACTGCCGTCCGGGCGGCGCGCCAGGCCCTGCGCACGACGGGCGTGACTCCCCAGCACTCGGCCCGAGCCCGAGAAGGGGGGGAAGGGACCCAGAAGATGCGGAGCGCGCCTGAGGCGGCCAAGGTCCACGTGGCGAGAGAGGGCCATAGAGCGAGGCAGGCCAGGGTTCACCACGGCAGGCACGCTGCGGGCGCCGCGCTGCTGGTGGGAGGAGGATCACTGCCACCAAATTCGGCCAGTTGTTGGAAGAAGTGGTCGGCGTCAGTGACTGGCAGCCAGACGCCCGCGTCCAGACTCAACAAGTATTGCCTGTTTGGGAGGGTGACGCGCGGTGGCGGCAGTAAGGGGCCATATAGCGTAACCATTTCACTCCAGCTCCCTGGTCAGGGGTCACCTGATGCGGCGCTTCGACGCAGGTCCTGGGGCACCCCGCTGCAGAGAGAAAGAGAAAGAGAGAGAGAGAGAGAGAAAACAAAAAAAAAAAAAAAGAGAGAGAGAGAAAGCCCGCGCAAGCGGTGGCAATCAGCAGCGCGCTATACACGAGCGCCGCGTTCCTAGGAAACAATACGTGCGTCTAAAAAGGATACACCGCAGCTCTGGCGGCCATGGGCCATCCATAGCCGCGGCGCGCCTCCAATGGGGCACTTGTGAAACCCAAGGTAAAGGCTGACGCAGTGCAGGCGCTGGGACGTGTGACTCCTGAAGAATTGCTGGCTGCGTCGGCGAAACGTCACGGAGGCACCCCAGGCAACCGACGAGAGCGAGCTTCGCAAGTGCGGGAAGCGATGCCTCATCTCGAAGCCACGCAAAAACTTCTAAGACGATAGCTCGCTGGCTGACATCGCAACGCGCGCCTTCGCGCTCGCCGTGCAGAACGGCAACACGCTGGCGACGTACTGCACGCAAGTCCGGGCTGCCGTCAGACTGCTCCAGCTCGGCGCGGGGAGCAGCCAAGACTGCCGTGGCCACTGGGCGTTGCGCAGGAAACCCGCAGCCTTGAGGCACGTGTGCGAGACATGCTCTTGGATCCACTCGTGGCGGACTCGCTCGTGGTCGCGCGGCACCTCTGTCTGCGTTTCGCTTCGCTGTCGCTGTCGACGTCTTATTGTTCTGCTGTCTGCTTGTTCACTGCCCTGAAACATTGAACTCTATGGTAGCAGGTCTAGAAGATTTGTGTTGTCACTCGTAATGCGTCTGGCACGCGGCCCGATGAGGATGTAGTCGATAAGACGGTATCTACCCAGATAGCTTCGAAACGTCCATTCCCCAGAGCTGTTACAGAATGACAGTTTTGCCCTTGAGCCAATGTCGAGCAGCGCACACCCCCGAACTGGTTCGTGCAACTCTGTCTGGAAATCGCTTCCACCGATGCAAATTCGCGCTGTCCGGCAGCAGGCGGACAACTGTTCGTAGATTTCGCCCACGAACGTGGGAGGGTAGCCGACATGCGGAAGGCACCGATTTCTCAGCGGAGGCCTCATAGACTGTCGATTTCCGTCGATCCGACTTCTCCCGACTCGGCTGCCGACTTCCGCCGATCGGACTCATTTCGATCGCCGATCCGACTTATCGATTCGTTTCTGGGCTGTCCTGCAGTGAGGGGGGACCCAGGGACCACGAGTAACTAAAAGTCAAGAGCGAGAAAGCAACCGCCTAACAGAAAAAAGAAGGCCGGAAGGGTTGAACCTCAGGGCGAGGCGGGGATTTATCCATATCCACCGCCCGTGAACCGACGTCCTGGGGCCCCATCGGGCGGTGGGTCTGGACAAAGGTTGGCCCCCGAGGGCCTGAATAGATCCATCTCCACCGCCTGTGCTGGTCCGCGAAGATCAATGCCCCAGGCGGCGGTTATGGATTAATCCCCGCCTCGGAGAATCAAAAACACACCGACCTGGGTAAATGCAAACCCGGGTCAGTCGGGCCTTGACGGCTCCTGCAAAAGATCATGCAGAGTCCCTCCGGACCCTGCGCGCTGGCCGGGGTCAACACACCCCTGGCTCTGCAGGATCCTGCAAGATCCAGCGTTCTGGCTGACTGAAGGGGCCCACAAACACACAAATAAATACACACAAATAAAAATATCCCCTATATTTTCCCATATTTTCTGGTTTTTTGTCTTCCCCACCACTTCCCATATTTTCGCATATTTTCCTGGGGATCGACGATTACTTGTGTCTGTGTGTTTCTTTCCCTCCTGACTGACCCCCGTTTGCATTGCCCCGTTGCCCCTCTGACTGATCCAGCGTCTGGCTGACCCCCGTCGGCGGCCAACCCAGGGGCGAAGGGAGAGGGGGCGGGCCTTCTCAGCAGAAGGCTCGGAAACCCTCAAGTGTTCCGAGGTTTTTGTTGTCTGAGGCTTCCCCGAAGACACCCAAAAACGTCTCGGAAGGCGTGGGGGCTTCTGAAGAACCCGCCGCCCCCTGCGAAGGCCGTCTCCTACTCACTCCCCCTCCATCGCCCGCCGCCTCCGCCTCCGCCTCCGCCTCCGCCTCCGCCTCCGCCTCCGCCTCCGCCTCCGCCTCTTCCGCCTCCGCCTCCGCCTCCTCCTCTTCCTCCTCCTCCTCCTCCTCCTCCTCCTCCTCCTCCTCCTCCTCCTCCTCCAACGAAGGATGCTCCGGGCCCTCCCTGGCCGTCGGGGTGGCCGGCCGGCCGACGTCGCCCGCCGGGCGGGCGGCGGTCCGCGGCTCACTGCTTGGCCACGGGGTACTTGATGGGCTTCATGGCGCCGATGGCTTTCGTCGCGACGTCCATCTCGGCCTGGAGGGGGAGGGGAATGCGGAAGAGGAGGAGGAAGAGGAGGAAGAGGAGGGGGAGGGGGAACAGGAGGAGGAGGAGGAGGAAGAGGAGGGGAATGCACAGGAGGAGGAGGAGGAGAAAGAGAAAGAGAAAGAAGAGTAGAAGGAGTAGTAGGAGAAGGAGGAAGAGGAGGAGGAGGAGGAGGCGGAGTAGGAGGGGAACACGGAGGAGGGGGAGGAGGAAGACTGAAGGACGAGGAGGAGGAGGAGGACAAGGAGAATGCGGAAGAAAAGGAGGAGGAGGAGGAGGAAGAGGAGGAAGAAGAGGAAGAAAAAGAGGACGAGGAGGAGGGTCTGTAGGTACGCTACAGCCCCGCAGCTGAACTGGATCTAACGTATAAAAAAGGCCAGTCTCTGATGGCATGTGACGGCGCCACGCCGTCGAGCTGCGGCCCGACGCGCGGCGGGCCCCTCGCGCGCGCGGCGCGCCAGGGGCGCCCGAACCCTCCCACCTGCACCGCAGGTCGGCCCTCCTTCCTCCTCCGCCTCCTAGAAGCCTCTCAGGGGATGAGAAGGACGACGACGACGACGACGACGACGACGACGACGACGACGACGACGACGACGACGACGACGACGACGACGACGACGACGACGACGACGACGGTGACGAGGGAAGAGGAGGAGGAGGAGGAGGAGGAGGAGGAGGAGGAGGCGGCGGAGGCGGAGGAGGAGGAGGAGGGGGAACGAGTGGAAGTCGGAGCGAGCCAGCTGCAGGCCAAGGCGGCACGCGCTAAAAAGCTACGACGATCGCGACCCCATCGCGGGCCCCGCGCGCTTCCAGCTGCTGCACGCCGGGCGGGGCCGCACGCCTGCGGCGGGCGGCCAGGGCACCCCGCAGCGGTGCCGCCTAGCAGCTGCGGAGGAAGTAGGAGGAGGAGGAGGAGGAGGAGAGGATGAGGAGGAGGAGGAGGAGGAGGAGGAGGAGGAGGAGGAGGAGGGAGGAGGAGGAGGAGGAGGAGGAGGGAGGAGGAGGAGGAGGAGGAGAGGAGGAGGAGGAGGAGGAGGAGGAGGAGGGAGGAGCCGCCCCGCAGGAGCGCGGCGTCGAGCTGCGCCCCCGCCAGCGGCGCAGGGCGCTGCCTGGCAGCCGGCCCCTGCGGCGGGCGCCGCCCGGCATTGCGCCGCCGCCGCGCGCGGTGCCTCCCGCAGGGCGGCCTCCGCGCGCGCCCCCCGGGTGGCCGTAGCGTCTCGTGGCAGGGCTGCCCAGACCGCCCTGCCACCAGCTGGCGAGTAATAGGGAGCCCACAAAGGACGTACGCGCCCAGCCATGTGCATGAACACGGCCCCTCGATTCGCGAGATGGGCCGCGTTATACGAACATTTGTGCAGTGCGTGGTCTCGAAACCAGCGTGGATTCATGTACATGTGCGTCCTTCTGTCGCTCCTGATGAGTAGCGGTCGTCCTGCTCGCATGGGATGCCGGACCGTGACGTCGACCAGGCAGTGCGGCAGTTCGGGGACTGAGCCGAGCGGGAAGTCGAGGTGGAGGAGCGGGAGAGGGGGAGCAAGGGAAGGAAAGGCACAGGGGGGGAGGAGGAGAGGGAGAAGGGATGAGGGTCGAGGCATCGGGGTGCTCTTGGCAAGTTCTGTGGGGCCTCATGCAGGGACCTCAGGGGGAGGGGACGAGCGACGATGTGACGGTCGGGGATCCGAATTCGGACCCCCAAACGACCACACTGGATTTCAATAAGACCGTTCATGCGCTGGTTTGCAGGTGCGCGAGAGGCAACATCCACATCTCGCGCTGCGATGGCCCCCCGAACAGAGGATCGACGCTGGCCTCAACGCGGCCAGGTCGCTGCAAAAATGCGCTCGCGCGCCGCTGCGTCTGAGCGGGCGCGCGCGCGCGCACGATCAATGCCACTCGGACACGTCAACGCTGCCGCTGCTTCCATGAACGCTGGCAGCACGTTTTTTGGTCTGCGGGTCGAGAGCGAGCCTCTTCCGGTCAAGAGCTGGGCGGGCCGCGCAGGGCACGAATCGGGGGAGACAGGGCGCGGGCGCGCGGGGCCTCGGGCGGCCGGAGGGCGCGGGGTGCAGGCGGTCACGCTGGCAACACATGGCGCGTATAAAACATGCGACTGCTGTGAGAAGTGGGTCTTGCGAAAGGAGCCCATCCTGGGAAACAACTTTAAAGTAGCTCTACAATAATGTGAAGATAACTTAGGGGTATGATTGATAACTCACGTGTTTTTCACGGTCCAGAAACGAACGGACGGCCCACGGCTGGCTCCCCACGGGGCCTGCGCTGTGGCCACGCAAGGTCACGCGGCCTGCGTCGGGCTCCCTCCGCCGCGCGGGCCTCGCGCGGGGCTCGCGGCGGGCCCAGAGCGAGCTCGCGCGGGGCTCGGGCGAGCCCAAGGCGAGACCGGCGCGGGACCCGCGAGACCCGTGCCAGTCCTGCGCGAGCCTCGGGAACGCCACACACGCAAAACCCCACGCGCGCCCGCCACGCGCGCCCCGCGCGCGCCCCGCGCGAGCCCCACGCGAGCCCCACGCGGGCCTCGCTCGAGCCATCGAGACCCGCGCATGGCCCCGAGGAGCCCGCACCCAAGAAGCGCCCAGAAGCCACCCGGGCACTCCCGGGAGCCTCCCGACATGCTCCGGCAGCCTACGGCTTAAATTTCCCGGTTGCTCCCTTCGAGTGGGGCGGCTGGGCTGGGAGCTCTGGGAGCAAAAGCTGCGCGCATGATTTGTTTAAATATTCCGGTTGCTCCCTCTTGGCGGGGCGTCTGGGCCGCGGGTGTCTTGGACCGTGCCACAGGGGTGCCCAAAACCGTGCCACAGGGAGCCCGACACCCAGTCTCAGGGGTGCCCAGAATCCGTATCACAAGAACAACTCGCGCTGTTCCAACGTATCATAAGAACAACTCGCACTGTCCTAAGAACAGCTGTCTCAAGAACAACTCTCTCGTGTCACAAAAACGACTCGTCCTTGTCATACGAACAACTCACAGAATCGTAAGAACAGACAACTGTTGATGGTGACGGTGATGATGATAATGGTGATGATGATGATGATGATGATGATGATGATGATGATGATGATGATGATGATGATGATGATGATGATGATGATGATGATGATGATAATGATGACGATGATGATGATGATGACGATGCTGATGATAATGATGATAATGATGATGATGATGGTGATGATGATGATAGTGATAATGATGATGGTTATGATGATGATGATGATGATGATGATGATGATGATGATGATGATGATGATGATGATGATGATGATGATAATGGTGATGATGATGACGATGATGACGATGATGATGATGCTGATGATGATGATGATGATGATGATAGTGATTATGGTGGTGGTGATGGTGGTGGTGATGGTGATGATGTTGATGCTGATGGTGGTGATGATCATGATGATGCTGCTGATGCTGATGCTGCTGCTGATGATGATGATGCTGAGGATGTTGATGGTGCTTATGATGAGGATGATGACGATGATCAAGGCAGTGCTGTAAATTTGATTGATTGGTCGGTAGGTTGGAGTTGGAGGGTGTGCTTGTGTCCGTTGTCTCTGTCTCGGAACCAGGGCCTGATAAGCACATGCGCCCATTCATCGGCGTGAGGCTCGAGCCCGCTAAGGAACCAAGGGGGCACGCAGTTTTACCCACAGTGCTGCCCGAGCTAACGAGAAAGGCATCGCTGCGCATGAGAGATGCCACATTCCGGTTCCCCCTCCTGGGCGGTCTGCTGCGGACTCCAGGGTCACTCTGGGCCGTCTGTGGCCTCCTGGGCCTTCTTGGGGCCGCTCCTGCCCCCCACCCCTCTCCTGGGGTCTCTTCGGGCCGAGAAGGAGGAGGAGGACGACGACGAGGAAGTGGAGGAGGACGAGGGGGACGAGGAGAAAGAGGAAGAGGAGGAGGAGGAGGAGAAGGGGAGGAGGAGGACGACGAGGACGAGGAGGTGGAGAAGGGGGAGGAGGGGGAGGAGGAGGAAGAGGAGGAGGAGGAGGAGGAAGAGGAGGAGGAGAACGAGGAGGAGAAGGAGGAGGAGGAGGAGGTGAAGATGAATGCGGACGGGGGCGAGGTCCTCTTGCGTTGCCACCCAAACATGGGCTATGGATGGGTTTTGCAGGGGGCGTGCCCATCCGAGGAAAAAGAACAAGGGAATTATGATGGCGATGCTGATGATGATGATGATGATGATGACGACGACGACGACGACGATTATGATGATGATGATGATGATGATGATGATGATGATGATGATGATGATGATGATGATGATGATGATGATGGTGATGATGATGATGATGATGATGATGGTGATGAGCATGATCCTGATCATGATGATGATGACGATGATGACAAGGAGGAGGAGGAGGAGGAGGAGGAGAACAAGGAGGAGGATGATGACGCTGCTGCTCCTGATGATGTTGATGATAATGATGGGTATGATGCTAATGACGATGACGATGATGATAATGATGATGGTGATGGTGATGGTGATAATGGTGGTGGTGACGATGATGATGATGATGATGATGGTGGTGGTGATGATGATGAGGATGCTGCTGGTGATGCGCCAGATGATGATGGTGTTGATGAGTATGACCACGATGGAGATGATGATATGATTATGAAGGTGATGATGATGATGAAGGTCATGGTGACGGTGATGACGATGATGATGGTGATGATGATGGTGATGATGCTGGCGATGCTCCTGAAGATGATGAGGACGATGATGATGATGATGATGATGATGATGATGATGGTGATGATGATGAGCATGATAGTGATAATGATGCCGATTGCGATGACGATGGCGATGTCGATGCCGATGACGATGATGAGGAAGAGGACGACGATGGTGGTGGTGGTGATGTGGATGACGATGTTGATGATGATGCTCCTGATGATGACGAGGACGAGGATGGGGGGGGATGAGGAGTCGTAGGAGGAGGAGGAGGAGGAATACAAGAAT